CGACGTAGTTGCGTGGCCCGTGCAACGCAAATTTTCACGCTGTAGAAAGTTTCAGAAGTCATGCAACGATCATGAACATCTAAAATATAAGCTTGGCGTTGTATACTAGACAATGTGGGCAAATTAAGGTGTGGAAATTAAAAGTGGAAGTCATGCATCGCGTATCGTATTAGCAATAAAAATTTACAATACCCTGGAAAGATCCGCACTAAAAATTCATCGGAGCGTGTTTGTTTCTTGTAGCCGTGCTAAAGGTTGCAATTTTGCGGGTTGTTAACATTTTGTTCTGAAACTTTCGTCGAGAAACTTTCCCAGTTGAACGCGCTACGCAACTATGGCGATCGATGAGGAAAACTACGTCTTGTAAGAAAACACAAGAGTCACCCGGCAGCTTCTCTTCGCTGATTGGCCAGAAAAAAGTTTTTCTGGCCAATCAGAAGCAGGCAATTCAAACGCTTCTGGAACTGGTTCGGTAAGAGTAAGTGCCCAGGGGCTCGTCTCGATCTTACAGTAAACTTTCACCACGAACATTTTATCGACCCGACTAACTGCCCCTGGGTCTCCGAGGATGATACGGATGTGGATTAGATATCAAATGAAGCGGGTTCAAGTCCTACGTAGCTACTGTTTTCTTCAGTTGTCCTTATTCTCCTATTTTTTACTTTGATTTATAAGACTCCTATCATGTATTTTGAGAGAAGATGACAATCTGACTTTGGGGTATCCATTCTGGTCACATGTTTCTATCAGTTAATGTCTTTTTACTGGATATTGTAAACGCCTTCCAAATTTGGTCAACCTTAGCTGGTTATGAACGATTAGACGGGGGATTTGAGCAAATAAGAAACGGAGAAGGTACTCTTTTGCTTAACAAGCACTATGAGGTGCTTCAAACCTTGCTCTGAATTCGAGTCATGACTTGCTTTTGGACATTTTTTAAATATCCAGTTAATTTTAGCTTTTTTGGCTAAAAATCCTGCAATATACAGATAAGTACCATGAAGCCATTGTGTTGTGGGTTCTGTTAAATAAAATGCCTTTTCCAAGCAAATAAATGTAGATTTTCTAGACGTAAAATCGGCTTCAGCCTTGTACATTCTAGATAAAACAATGCAACCTGCGATCCATAACAACACAGAGACGCTTGAATTGATCTTAAGTGATGAATAGGAAGTCGGGCTATTCCCAACTTGCTAAGTGCAATTTCAGTGCAATGCAATCTCAGACTGTTTCTCGAAAACATACTGCATTCTTAAGTATTTGAAAATATCGTTTCATTGTTTTATAAACTATTTGCTAAACGAAATCTGTCATCCGCAGCATTCTCATAAACGTTCGATCCATTTAAACGGACCGGCTCAGAGATACCCGAATCTTCCAACCTTCCCCGTTCCCCCTTTGCCCTCCCCCCACCCCTCCCCCACACTGTACGTAATTGAAACCAGCGATCGTCACAGTTGAAAAACTGTTTTTAGCAGCCTCAATGCTCAGTTATCCGAAGATGATCTGTTGGCAATCGTAGCTCAAGAACAAAAAGTAACGCGATCAAAACATTTAGGCGACGACATGTCACTATTACGGTAATCGTATTTCAAAATCAAAGGCTCCTAGGAGCGAGCTCATGGATGAATTAAATTAGTGTCGAAAAGACAGCTCAATAATCAAAGAAAAACATATAAATCTTTTTGAACGGTTCATTGTGTACGGACTTGCGAAAATACAGCGTGACTCGATCGAAGTATCCGATTGCATGTGCACCCGAATATTGTAGAAACTTTTTATCAGCGCAGCATTTCTACTTACAAAGCAAAGATCACCTTTAAAAGCAATTATTAACGCTTTTTAGTTGTAAAATAATTTGCGTTCTCATGTGACTGTCAAACACTTTCCGAACGACAATGCACTTTCTTGTAAAATAGCCAAGTTTTACATAAGCACAAGTTTTATTTAAACCGTGGTTTTAAACAATATTTTAATGGACCTCGAAGGTTTCCTAAAAGTGCGATGCTTTTAAATAAATGTTTCCATATGCTGTTCACAAAGAGTCCGTAACGGTTAGTATGTGTAGTACGAGCTATATTAAATACAGAATACAGGCGTTTATGGTTAAATTGAACTGCTTTAGAACACGCTTTTGATAAACACGACCTAAAAAAGCAGTACGTGCTCTGACCTAGCCAAGTAATTTAAACGCAGTCGAAGTATCCGATTGCCTTTCTCCACTTGAATGTTCTAGACACTTGTTTATACCAGCGCAGCATTTCTTGTAGAAATTACATTAATAGCCCTGCTAAATGGAATCACCGACAAACAAAAGCTTACTTTAAGGCAAAGATCACCTAAGAATTCAAGCAAAATAGCGTAACGCTTGTTGGTTCAAAAACCTGTGATTCTAGTTCACACAACATTAATTCATTCCCTGTTTGCATACGTAGACAAATGGTCGAACGGATTCGTCCAAATAACTGAATAAACCACAATAGATACTCCTCAATGTCGCTTTAACAATTCGAGGACCTTTTTTTTGTATTGATTATAAGGCTCTTTGGCTTATTCGCTTTTCGCTGAACGAAATCCCATCGTCAGGCTGCAATAGCTCTTTCACACTCCTGTTGATCGCATCTTCTCCATATCAAGTATAATATCGGGAACAAATGTGCACAATTCGTCCAAATATGCAACAATGAACCACGCTCAATTATTTCAATGTCCTTTTAACAATTCTAAGTCCATTTCTTGCGGATGATATTATCAGTGTTCTTTAGAATCTTTCCATTTATGCAAAACCCATCTCTATAATTGATGTGTCGGGAAAAAATTCGCCTTAGTAGTACCCTCTAGAATATTCCAAACATATGTGTAAAAGGCACTTGGAACAAAAGTAATACTAAGTAAGGGAGGTAAGAGTAAAGTGTCTAATCTGACTTTAATGAATAAATTAGTTAGAATCGAGTGAGTGAGTGAGTGAGTGAGTGAGTGAGTGAGTGAGTGAGTGAGTGAGTGAGTGAGTGAGTGAGTGAGTGAGTGAGTGAGTGAGTGAGTGAGTGAGTGAGTGAGTGAGTGAGTGAGTGATCGAGTGCCATTCGAGTGCCTCCAAAAGCCCATGGCATGACTACGTCATCCATGAGCTAAAAAGATAACATAGTCATACGATCTTCCAAAATAACAAGTTATCAAATGTTAGGAATTTTATCATTCAGTGACCGATGAGAGGGCTTTAACGCTTCAACGGAAATAAGCGTGCTAACGTTTGTGGTGAAAAAAAAACTGAGTACAATGCTTCCGGGGGTGTTTATTTTTAGAGAATATGCGAGAAAACGTAAAATTAAATGTCCTCCTTGTGGTACCCCTCGTCCTCTAATCTATAAAAGCTCTCTATTATCTCTTTACTGTCGAAGCAGATTACTCCACTCACACCAATGGAGTCTATTTGTGTGTATTGGACAACCCTCACGTTTTCTCAGTATTTTTAGTTCTTCGGAAAATGTGAGGCATTATCATGAAATTTCAAGGTAATTGAATGCACAGTTTAATTTTTATTGCTTAGAAGTTTGCGCACGTACCACAACAGCATCGCTTTAACCACTTACAGTACTTCAAACTGATCAAAGAGAAAAAAAGTGAAAACTAATGAGCAATGGAAAAAAAATAGTGGAAAAATTAATTATAGGATCCACATCTTCAGCTAATCCTTATTAAGTTGGTAAAAATTGAGAAAAAGTATCACAACTATTTACTGAAAAAACTGTACCTTATAAAATCTATGTAAAATTAGCTTGAGTTTGATCGTCCGGGTGAACGTAGTCCTGCATAGGACTGTTGTTGTTGACAGTGACTGACGTTTCGACAACCTGTGAGGGATCATCTTCGGAGTCAAAGTGAGTTGTATCACGTCAGTTGATGGTATTATACAAACTAACTACGAAAGAACGACTGGAGAACTGACAATTTGACGACTGTTTAACTTTGACAATAGACGGATCGAAACGCACCAGTTACTGATTACGAGTCTTCATAGCCAATAACGTCAAGGCTTAACTGATAGACGAGCAATAACATCGCGAAAAAGTTGACCAATCAGATCAATAACCAGAGTATAATACCATCAACTGACGTGATACAAATCACTTTGACTCTGAAGATGACTTCCGCACAGGTTGTCGAAACGTCAGTCACTGTCAACAACAACAGTCCTATTCAGGACTACGTGCACCCGGACGATCAACGTCAATAGACTGCTCGCATTCTGTTGTTATATGTAGTTGCTTCTTAATTCATTTCGGCTAGGTAAACACTACAAGTGTTGGTGTTTCCGCCGGTGCACTCGCAGTGGCACGATAAAATAACCCCATCAGAGCAATTTAATTTTTCAGTAAAACCTTGGTAACGATGGTTGTCCATGTAATCCCACACCTTCATTTCGCCGGTCCCCACTCCAAGCGTGTTGACTCCTAAAAGTGGATTGGAGAAAGCAATAGTGACGTTGGTGTTATTCATCTTATAGGTAACGTACCCTGAACATCCTGCCATTGACCAGTCTCTTTCATAGTTGAGGACCTTTTGATGGTCGCCTGCGTTAATTGTTTTCGGCCAACTGAAACCATCCGCGAGTCGTCCGCTGTAGTACCATTCTTTCATATACGACATAGAAAATTGCGTCTTGTTAGTGATCTCCACCAGGCAATTGTGTTGCTTCACCATTATGTACCTACAAAGTTTAAAAGCTTATTAGCCTTGGAAAACAGCCGACATTTGGCGACGCCACCGCTAGTTTTCCCAAAAAAAGTCTTCTGACAAACGAGCGAAGAAACTCCATACCGATGACGCGTCCACTACCCAAATCTGGGTAGTGCCTCTGATTGGTTGAAGCAAATTTCCCACGCGGCACGACTAATCAGAAGCTTTACGCAGATCGGAGTAGTGACATGTCGTCAGTATGGAATTTCTGCACTCTTTTCCCAGACGCCATTTCGCGAGGAAACCAGTAGTAGCATCGCAATGTCGGCTGTTTTCTCAGCCCAAAGAGCTATGTATCTTAACTTTATTGTCGGAAACATCTGATTCTTTGTAACCAAGCCAACAGTTTAAGTGAGTGGCTAGAGTATTTATCGAAAGGGAAGGATCGGGTGAAAAGAGGAGGAAGATGAGAGGGCACGACTGTTGTGGGCCAATACTCCTCCCCGTTTAGTTCTTTCATAAGAGGGCTCCCACGCGCGCGAAGAGCCCCATACTCATAGAATATGGTCAACTTCTTTTCGTTTGGTTGTCACGTGATTGACCGAGCGTACGTACATACGTACGCGTCTACGGATTGTATGGGTGGGGTAGGGAAGACTATCAAAAGGCAGGGAGGTGTGTCTCAGGCGTGTCTTGGCAAGTCCAGATCTTTTACATTGGAAATTCACAATATGGTCAATTGACTGCTGTCAAAACAGAATAGCCATTAACTAGTATCTCATGACCATATCGCGGGCTCATGTGTCAACTCATTAACGTCACGTAATTTATTTGGAAGCTGTCCGCTGACCAGTTAATTGTTTTACTAGATCGCGATCATTGTTCAATCTCATACTTTCTAGCTAGTTTGGGATCGGAGCACAGGGAAACTGATACACATATTGGACATCAATGTTGCGATCAATTGACAGCTGTCAAAGCAGGGTATCCGCTGACCAGTATCACTTGACCGTATGGCGGGCTCAGGTGTCGACTCATCGAGCTCAAGTATTTTTTGAAGTTATCCGCTGATAAGGAACTGGTTTTCAAATGATCGCAGGCTCAAGTTTAATTTTTTTAAAATTCATATGAAATATGTTGTGTTTATTTGCCGCACAATTAAAATTTTGATTTCAAACTGACCTCGGACGCGAAAATTCAGCTAGTTGCTACAAGCAGGGAAGACAGTTGCTTTCGACTTTTCTCACCATGTTCACGCGTTGGTCTCGCTCTACGTCCAATTTTTATACTCTGATTGGTCAAAATTTGACAGGTGAGTTCATGCGGAAAATTTATGCAGCATCTTGAATCTTGTTTACTTTGACAGCTGAAGCTGGCGGAGTTTTGTGTCAACTTGTGATGTTTTTAACTGTCTTTTTCCACAGGATATACAAAGTGATATCCAGCTGCTATCAGGAGTCTTTTGTTATTCATGGCTAGTTTGTTTATTGGGTTTTTGGTTGAGAAATACGTCACTTGTCAAAGTCTGAAATCCGATTTCGGATGGCATCGTTTTCGTTTTCCCCCTGCTTAATACTAATGCGTAAGAGGGTTGCAAAGTCTGAAGCAATACTGGCCTTACTTGATACCTTTCTGGAGCTGCAGCTCGAGTGGTAAGCCTGAGTAATTATTGTATTTGATGTTTGTTTTTTATTTCTAATTCAATGAAGTCGAGCGTAGTTTATGCGGCTATTTTGTTGTCTGATGTTATCAGAAGTTGACTGATATGCCTGATAATTTTGGTGATGACTTCATGGAAGTACTCTCCCGAGGGACAGGCTCCCATAATAAGGCGTGAGAAGTGTGGCCCCACAACCCCTCCTCTGGTGTCTGAAAGGCTGTGATGCAGCGTGACTCTTCGGCTAGCGTGACTTGTAAATAAGCTTGTGACAAATCCACTTCTGTGAAAACTGTTGCGCCTTCCACTTTCTGTAAAATTTCATCCACTATTGGTATTTGTACTCGGCGTCGTGTAAGTGCCTGAGGCTGTGTATAAAAGTGGGACGGGGACATCGGGATACGTGTGTGGGGACTTGGGACGTGGGGACGCGAGACGAGGGACTTGAGGACATCAAGTATGGGACGCGGGGACGTGTGGGATGGGGACGCAGGGACGTCAAATACAGGGACGCAGGGACGCGGGATGTGAATGATTATTGCAAAAGTCGCAGGCAAATGCGATATCAGTCACTTTCCTCGTGAATATGTTTCGGTGAAGGCAACCCACCCTGCCCTTCCTTACGGTTCCTCCATACCTGTTTACGAAGGGAAGACTCGGCGAAGACCCCCTGCATTGAAGAAAGTGAAACCGTTGTCCTGGTCTTCTTGCTGATGGAATATTGGAGCCTAAAGAAGGGTAGGGTGGGTTGCAGTCGCATAAAATTATGTAGAATAACACCATTCGATTCCAAATAAATAAAAATTAAGTGGCATAAGCGAGCTTCGAATCCCGAAGTGCTAACTCCGAAATCCATCGCCTGTACCA